TTCAGCATTACTTCAGAATTACTTCAGCATTACTTCAGCATCATTCAGCAGTACTTCAGCATTACTTCAGAATTACTTCAGCATTACTTCAGCATCGTTCAGCATCGTTCAGCATCATTCAGCGTGTCCACCATGTCACAGCTAACAACAACCCACAGACAGACTCGACCATGAGAAAGAATCATCATTCACGTCTGTGTAAACAACAGTTTAATGTAATGTTTCTAACATTTCAATGGAACGTTTGAGAATTCTGAGTCTGGATGTGTTTTCAGAGGGCAGTAATCGGATTTGGTCTTGGCTTCTCTTGAACTAGCCCAGGGATATTCAACTGGCGGCCCGGGGACCAAATCAGGCCCACGGATTAATTCAGTTCAGCCCACCAATGGGTTCATGTTGAAATAAAACCAGATTTTAAACCAAAAAACAAATTTAATGATAACTGCTGGATGTCCGGTCCCTGAGCTCTTAGATTTCAGTAACTGTGGCCCCCTGAGAGATTTAGCTGAAAAGTCCTGGACTAGCCTTTAGTTTGTCCATCAGGTCAGAAATAATCTGGATTTTTTTTCCTAACAACCGAACCTAAAGCCGTTCAGAGTACTCTCTACAACGATAATTTTAAAAGTTGGGATCCTGCTCAGAGTCGTGAAACAATAAATGTTGGATTTGAGAAGATCTGTGAAATTTAAAAATGATTGATAAAAGCACATTAAGCCTTAACAGCTACAAAGAGACAAACATTGGTCATAAACGCATTAAAACTTATATATACTTGATGAGGCTCTTTGTTAAATGTCTTATTAGCAATAATTGCATATTTGAGCCAGATGGGGTGACAAGTCACTGAAACTCATGTGTGAGCAGAAAGCAGACGGGTCTAGGAAGCGCAGCTCTACAACAAACCAGTCTGAAGCGTTTCTCTCAGTGCTGCTGAATGAACGAAAAACGTTTCACCTTTTTCTTTACGTAAGAGTTGGAGGAGCGCAGCAACCTGTCGATCTCCGGCGCCAGGTCCCTGCACATCTCGGCTGAACCCATGCAGGCCAGCGTGCACAGAGCCAGAGACTGGACGTACTGGTTGCTGTGAGCCAAGTCGCTGACACACAAAGACACACAAATCAAATTTAAATCTCACTTTTCTAACCGTCTCAAACACAACAGTTTGGTGTTTTATTGTAACTGTGGTCCTCACTTCTTGATGGAGTTGGTGATGAGCAGGCTGGCGTCCTGCTTCTCGTCCAGGAGCATCATGGCGCCCAGGTATCCCACACGCTTCTCGCTGTAGCGAGGGCTGGCGATCATCCGCACACACTCCATCTAAAGTGAAAAGTCAGAACTCTGTAAAACGTGGACGGGCTTAAAATGCCCACAGCGCTAAGGCACAAGTCAAACTCAGCTCCAGAGCGGCGCGGCGCTGGAACTGGGACGAACTCGGCGGCCTACTTACAAGAGATCTGCAGACTTCGACAAACTCTGCTCGGGGGAATAAAACAGTTTATACTGTTGAGATAACAGGAAACACGTCTGCAGCAACTTCAAACAACTCCTTACTCTCTCGGAGTTTTATTCCACGTTCACACACGTTTACTCTCTGCACAAACGGTTCCTGTGAGGAGTCAGCGTTGTGGATGTTCACAGTGACTCCTCTCTGCTGTTCCCACACTCGCGTCCCGTTCAGGCCAAGCAAACCCATGACGGGAATTAACCAAATCCCCTCACCTGACCGAAGTGAGCCGGGTAGCCCAGCATGTGCACGTAGAGCAGCTTGGCCAGGTTGTGCGATCGGCTCCCGTTGTCGTTCTGTCTGAACTGGGCCCTGATGGCGGCACACTCCTTCTGAATGACCCCCCGCTCCTCACACTGGGTCCGAGCCGACCTGATGGTCCGGATCATCTCCTGTAGGGGAACTGATGGAGACATGGCTGTGTGTGTGTGTGTGGGGGGGGGGGGGAGAGAGATGTTTAATAATTAACAGATTATAATTACTACAAAATAAAGGTCCATGCTCAGTGTGACACATTTCACTTCCTGTTCCCACACCTCTCCTGACAGAGCTGCACGTGTATGATCAGACACGAACCTGCATAAATAAAGATTGAATGAAATGACTGCATTTAATTCATGGACAACCTCCACAGAAGCATTTAAACACATTTCTTCACTGCTTGTTACTCCTAATGGCAGATTATCAAAACTGATGTCAACTATCTCCATTTCTACGACTGCCACGTGTTCAGTAACGAGCAGGTGACCATGTAACAAGTTGATGATGGTGCGGGTCTGAACAGAGACAGGACCGAGCCAACGAACCGGCTAACCTCGGTCGATGCTGTCAAACCACGGAGAGTGGAGCTAAAACAGCTAGCTTTGAGCAACAGTCCGTTTTTAAGAGTCTTCTACTAAAACATGGTCAAATAAAAACGTACGTCAACGACGCTACCTGCGGTTAGAAGAGCAAACACGTTGAAGCGACAACACTCGGCCGCGTCAGTCCGCTGGAAACCAGAAAACACGCAAATGACGTCAAGAGCCGGAAACTATGCCCTCAACTTCCTGTTGGGCGTTTCAAAATAAGACATCCATGCTTCAGCCTTTATTTATGCAGGCTAGTCTCAGTTGCGCCACGAAGACTCACCTGTTCCAGACAAAACATAAAAAATATCAACAATAGACAATAATAACAATAAACAACAATAAAAATTCAATTATAATAAAAGCATCCTGATGCATGCTCAATAATCCAGGTAGAAACATCTGAAAAGGTTAAATCTGGTCCTCTGGACATTCAAAAAACCCAAAACAAAACAAAAAAATTGTAGAAACGTTTCGTTTTTCATATGAAAGCAGTGTTATAAAACAATAAATCAGGGTGCCGTAATACAAGATGAGTAAACCTAAACTGGTCACAAAATAAACAACCTGGATTCAGTTTTTTTTACTTGTCAACACAAAAAGGGATTTGTCATAAAACAGGAGAACTTGGTAGGAACGTAATAAAGGTACTGTGAATATATTTGCACACAGCGTTATAGTAAAGTAGTGTATTTAAAATGTACTTACACAGTTGGGATTTAGTTTGTCAGTGCATAAAGTCATAAGCAAATTAACTACATGGAAGTAAAAAAAATCTTAAACTGAACCTTCATTCAATGCAAACAATTACATTTTATTATGTTTACAAGTAGGTACACTAAGATGTATGTTATAACAAAATGAGACAGTTGCATTCTCTCTAAAAAAACACACACACACAATATCTGTGGGAAACAAAATAGTTAAAAAAAATAAAAGTTAACAGTTTCCTTGTGTTATTATGTGAAAATAAATATGTCGTAAAAAAAGAAAGATGCCTCAGAATATCAAGCAATACCACAGCTCAGCCAGATTTTGTGAACACCTGGCTTCATGAGTTGTGATTTATGGTCAACTATTACAAGTGCTTAAATAAAATCATTTTAATTTGTTTTCAGCTTTATGTTTTTTATTATTATTATCATTATTATTATACTGTAAATACACAACGTAACACAGGGCGACTTTTATTTTGAAGGCTCGTGCATTATTGTCTCTCTCTTAGTAATGGCTAACTTTACTCACCTCAGAACATCATACCTGTGCATGACTTCCGCAATTTGATCACTCATTGTGGCAGAGCTCCACCCTCTCATGGTCAGGAGCCTCAACAGGTGGATGAAACATTGATGAGGTGGAGGAGGAAACCTCATTCTGACTCCACTGCCCTGAAAGCAGCTCAGTCAAATCCATTCAAAACAGCTGGGCACCAAATAGTGAAATAGACATGCAATGTAGAAAAACATCTGTAAATATTCCTAAAGGTAACTGAACAGATGGTAAAAATCTGTTATTCCTCTGCCTCCCAGAGGCTTTTAAACTTCCTGTCCATGGGTGAGGGAGGCCCTCCCCCACCCATGGACAGGAAGTTTCTAATACAACTTTTGATTATTAGAGGCCTAACATTCCTTGAAGGACTGCAGACCATGTACGACCTGTAGTCATTCTGCTCCAATGTGGAAAATAGTAAAGTTCATGCAATATGGCAATATCTCACACACTTGAGTATGTGTTGAATGTGAGCTGCCACCACACCAAAATGTAGCTCGCTTTCTGTGAAACTGTTTGCTAAGATTACTTTGCTGTGCCATACCAGTTCAATTCTGTTTACTCCAAAAGTTAATCAACTCAACATCCAGTTAGATATTTTGCTAAACGGACGCATGCACCAGACATGAGCAAAGACATTATCGCTCCACCTTTGCCTTTGGCGGCGGGCGACACAACATTAATTCAATTCAAAAATACTTTATTATTATTATTATTATTAATATTATTATTGTTATCATTACAGTGACTCTTTAGTAATATTTCTTTTGAAAACGTTCCCATCTTTCAAACTGTTGCTTTCAGGATCACACGTCTCAAATAAAATAAGCGGTGCACCGATGTCCCTCATTGCTGAGGGATTTGAATAGTGAACGTTCGTAGTTTTGGAGATGAGTGTTTTTCTGAACTGGAGTTGAACAGAGATTGTAAGTAAACCTAAATGTTTTTGGTGCAATATAGTCAAATGTGTTGAGTTACAGAGTGGAGAAGAACAGAGGGAGGTGTTGTTTTTTCTTCTTGTCAGAGGCAGCGCAGAGTGATGGATCCTGGTGAGTGGAAGGGGCAATCCACCACCAAGTGCAGTGGTGGAGCCAGTGGGTGGACAATGGTGACCTTGGTCACCACAGATTAATCTTCCGCCACCCCTATCATTTGAGGAAGCTTTGCAGTATAAAAAGTAGAAATCATAGTTTCCTTTCATGATTTGTGTACTTGGTTTGCTTATCCAGTATATATGTTGGTGACTAGGCCTGTCACAATAACAAATGTTGCTGGGTGATTAATTGTCTCAGAAATTATTGCGATAAACGATAATATTGTTTGAAATTTAACAATAATTAATTGTCAAATTTTAGAAGAAATGTTGATTTGTTTGGTGTGTAGTACCTTTTTTGACCACCTGATGGCAGTATAAGACTGCTTGAACCAATGGATGGATAGTTGAGCAGCGTCTCTAAGAAAAATGGGAGGGAGGTCCTTGACGTGACATGGTGAAAAAGACATGGCGGATGCTCGGCGATTTGAGCTCTTTAGCTTAGCATTTTTCACACAAAGCTTTTAATTAAAAAATAAAATAAAATCAGTAAACAAGTTCTCAGCTTCTTTTTGCAGAGAAAAACAACTTTTTAGACGAAGGCACAGGTATCATTCGTGAATTTTGGAGCTCGACAAGACGGAGGTTTATTCCCGAGGTCGGCCTGTTAGCTTGGCTCGTAGCTTAGCTTCTCAGCTTAGCTGCTTTTAGCGACCCAAAAACGTGATTTTGGACGATTAAAACAGATTTTAAAGAGAAAGGGAGGGGTCAGTGAAGAGCACCGGAGTTGAGCCTTTTGTCAGAGTCAGAGTCAGAGATTCTTTATTGTCATTCGCACCTCATGTGGTACATGTGGTGGAGCGAAATTATGTACACAGGGTCCCAGTTACATCCAACAATAAAATGTATAAGAAAAACAGTAATAACATCTAAGATATGAACTAAGAAAAACATCAACTAAATATACACTAAGCACTCATAACATACAACATTGAACATCACCACAAACATGAACATGAGTCTGTGAGCAGATGTGCACGCATGAACACATCAACATTGAAACAGATCAGCAGCAACATGAAACAGATCAGCAGCAACATGATATGGTTTTTCACAGTGATTATTCTAGTTAGAGATTCATGAGTCTAACAGCCTCAGGGTAGAAGCTGTTCCTCAGTCTAGTGGTTCTACACTTAATGCTCCTTAACCTCCTTCCTGAGGGGAGTGGGGCAAAAAGTGTGTGTGCTGGGTGGGTTGTCATCGAGTGTCTTCAGTAGAAAGAGAGAGACACGAACAAAACCTTCCTGAAAGTCAGTTCAGTTCTTTCTCCAAACTGAGGTCATTCAAAGAGCCATCTACAACAGGTAAAATATTGTTTGGTCAGAACTTTTCCATGGAAATCATTCATTCACTGTATAAAAAAGGATTTTCTGTGACAATTGTCACAGAAAAAAGTACATTAATAAATTCCTTTAGCTTGATTTGCTCCTTTATATTGGTAGGTTGAAACATTGGTATTCTTTACTAATAGCCCAGTCTGCCAGACAGAACACAGAAGAAGTAGTAAAGTCTGGATAGTTTATGAGGGCGACATTGTCACTGGTACACAACATCAGATCAGAGATCAGCAATCTGTGTTTGAGAAATGTAAATGATTTTATGTTGTGTGACAGGCCAGTGCAAATAAAAACAAGTAAATGTCTGTTTGTCACAACTAAGAGTGAACATTAAAACTGGGATGAGTGTCACACGACAAAAAACAATCCTCACCAGAAAACTGTTTCACCCTGAGAGCAGAGCCAGATGGTGTTTACATCATGTGCACTTGCCAGCTGAGGAAACAGCTCAGCAAAGGACCAGTTATGGAAAAATAAGAACAAACCACACAAATTCAAGACTCCAGGGTGAGAGCTCAAACAAAACCCGTTTCTAATTCAATAAGGAAATCTGTGAATTATATTTTGTTTCATGTAAAGCTCGTTGTTGGTCCATGCTTGGAATCAATCAAAAAGCCTGAAGATAAGATTCAAACAGAACAATCACAGATGTTTCTGAGAAAAGAGTGTGTCATTTTGGCAAAGTATAATTATCAACCAAAACCCAGAGTACTGATAACTAAAACAAACCAGACTACAAAAGTAGGTAAAAAGGTAAGTAGGTTTATTTACAGGGAAATGATGGAACCAGGGACGGGAGGATCTAAAGAAGACGTCAGGAGGTGAGTACAGGTTATCCAGACAAATTGTTCGGTTATGGATAATGATGAGACTTGTGGCTTTTCTGTTTTCCAGATGTGAAGGATAACTGGGAGGGCTCTGGTCCTTTGTTCAAGGAATGGTGTCCTGGAATGATGGAAGGCAGGTGCTAGATGTTGGGGAGCAGGCAGGGCGGGAGTCAAAGACAGAGTCGAAGTTACCGGTTTGTTCTTCTGTTGCTGCTGAGGCAGGTTTTCCACAGGGGGTAATTCTCAAGACAAGGAGAAAGGTAATTCAGGTAGAACACGAAGATTTCTGCAAAGCATAAGGTAAGGTGTCACAAAGAAAAATTTATTTGATATATTTATGTTTGTAAATGAATCTTCTTCATACAACAAAGTTAGTGAAGGAGTTCTTCAGGGTTCAGTGATTGGACCACCTTGTATATGCTTCCACTAGGTAATGTTATTAACCAGCATATGATACATTTTCATTGTTATGCTGATGATAAACAGTTATATTTGTCCATTAAACCCAAAGAATCCAATCAGCTACTTAGACTACAAGCATGTCTTAAAGACATAAATTCCTGGATGACTCTAAATTTGCTGCTTTTAAACTCAGACAAGACTGAAGTTTTAGTTTTT